TAATTTTAAATTTTTTTTTTAGGGATTTCAAGTCAATTTATATTATATTAGACAATGAAAGTCCGAACTGATGGAATAAATTTCCAAAGTAAAGCAAAGATTCGTTCCATCTCATATCGGCTTTGCAGCCATCGATAGGGAATTATATGTGTGTGAGTGAGTTTGCCATTGTTTCATATAACCTGACCCAGAAAATCTGAAGACCATCGTTTACATCGACGGTTCATACGTCGCCATATATTAAAGTTATAATTTCAGGTTACTGCCCCAATCTTTCTGCCGATACCAGAGACATCATCTGGTAAAACCAGTGTGGATTGTAGCCTCAGATGGATATATACTGAGTATTCACAGACCCTTTTTCTCAGAAGCTTGCAACAATGACGCAAGAATTTTGGAGAATCAGTTTGAGGACATGAAGGGATGGTTTAATGAAGGTGACATTTTTGTTATATACCGGAGTTATCAAGATGTCATACCCTTACTGAATAATCTTGGCATACAATATGAAATGCCCGCGATTGTTCCACGACGGCAACAACAGCTTTCCACTGAGAAATCAAATAAATCTCGATTAGTGACGAAAATTATATGGATAGTTGAAGCAAGAAACGGACATATGTAGTTTTTTGCTAAAACGATCGAAATGACACACCTTCACAATCTTAGCGATCTATATCAAATCGGTGGACTCATCAACAGCTTCCTCCCCGATGAGAGGTGCCAATGCTGATCTGGCACAAGAATCACAAGAGGTAATAAATGTCCAGGCTCGAGTGAAAGTAGAGAATAGTAATCTGAGAAATGGTCAATGGGTCCGTATGAAAGATAACCTGATTCCAAACTTTCCTCTCCTTACAATAAATTATCTAAGAGATTTGACCATAGGTATATACAAGGTTGAACTTACACCTTCGTATAAACAGGATGAGAGTTGGTGGTTTTTTTGAGGTTCAGGCCACAAAATATCAACTGTGGATCAGATATGATGATGGAGAAGAACCTGATGAACCAAACGAGCCCATATTAGGATATTATTGTACTTGCAAAATCGGTGCCAGGACTTTAGGAACATGTGCGCATGTTGCCAGTGTTTTGTGGTATCTTGGTCACGCTTGACATGCCCCAACAATCGATACTCTCACGTTCCCTACTAAGCTCAATAATGAACGCGGCAAATAGACCACACATGGTACCACAAATGGTACCTGATGGTGCGCTTGAAATAGTTGGGAAGTGAAAACATGACAGTCATTCCGGTGAATAAACTCCCCCCAATTTATTTGATTAACACCTCAAAAAACCCGACACCGGTATGTAGGTGGTCAATTTGGATGCATGACATTTCGTCTAGAGTCTTATTCTTCATAGCGATAGAAATCACTTGCTATTCTTCATTGCAATTGAATAACTGAGGATTCAATGATTGTGTGTTAGGAATCACACGTTAAAAGGTAAGGCCTCGTTAATCCTTAGCTCACACAAATTTCAACTTCTGAGGGTTGTCGTTCGTAGGGGTGCGACAGCTGGTTAACGGAAAAACAGATTTCAAAACAGAGAATAGAAAATTCTTTCAGTTATGTAAGAATGTCGCATGCTCTATTCAGTAATATCTATATAAAACCTACCTTACACTGATGAGAGGCAAAACCCCGAAACCAGTAAAACTCGTTTCGTGAAACGAAATATGAATCCTACGAAAGGTTGTCTTCATGGAAATAATGTACTTGTTGAATTAATTCGACTCAGTTCAGTAGCTATTGTGGTAGCTATTTCTGTTTCCTCTGAATCAGCCCATATGTTCGGAATCGTGTGCTGAATTCATGTTATGTATTTACTTCAAATCATATTTCAGTTGCGGTCACAATGTATTGAAGATAATGACAGTTATGAAGACCTGAATATAAACCAAAGCATATCCTTCTTCTCTATAATTTTTCATCTTTCATCATTAGAATGAAATGTGAAAACATTCGATGGTGCAGAACACCAGAATATTTTTTGTACTAATACGCATAGTGATGCCGTGATTCTCTCCAGAAGACACTTGTTTAACAGCCTAAGAGAATGAGTTATTGTTTCAATCCTGCATGTTTCAAAAACATTGGGTGGAGACGAGATGGTCCCGCTCTTAATATAATTTACGAATAAATACTAATACTAATATTTTTGAAATTTTTTTGGGCGAGTTGCAACCTTGGTATATTCATAAATTCTCATTCTCTTGTTTTTTGGACCATCGCCGCAACTTTATTTGAATTCAGATTAATGAGCACCGACGTTGACACATTATTTGTATCTTCCCCCCGTATCTTCCAAATATTTAGAGTTGGATGGTTGGTTCGAATGCATAACATGATCGCCCTCTCATGCACTGTAGGTAACATCAGTTGCATATGGATCTGCAGGTAAACGAATATTTTCTCGAAAAAAAGTTCGATAAAAATTACCAATAAAAATTTTTAACCCTCTGTATACCAGCCAGTTGTGATTCTAACAACTTTTGTCGTATAAATATTCCAATGCACATATTGTGGATTATTCCATTATGAAAATTCAGATCAGTACGATGAAAATGTAATTCCGGATATTTCAAAACTCGTCAAAGTATCAAACTTCGACCCCCTGTAGAATCCAAACGCCGGCATTCAGACAGTTGGCACAAAAGTAACATTTGTTAAGGATGGTAGGAAATTTCAGCGATTTTCCCCGAAACCGGTTTTCCATAAGATTAGAGCGGAGTCCTTTCAGGATTTATGTGAAAAGTCTCCAAATTATACTAAGTTGCAAAAATCATAATCGTCTGTCAAAAAATATTGACAGTTTACGAAATTCAGTGCATTCAATCGCTGAGAAAATCTTTAAAAGGTACCTGTTAATGACAAATCCAACATTTCACAATATTTATAGTTTATGTACGTATAGATACTTACCGCAAATGCAAAGTACAAACAAGAAGCGTAGGTGAATAATGAAGCTAGAATTTGTATGAGTAAAACATATGTGAACATGTATTCAATTTCATCTCGCATCCTGAAAAAAAGTAGTTTTGATAATTACCAACATATTTGGACCTATGTATAAAAATTTGTAATTCATGATTTTTTTACATTAGATTGAAGATATATTTCTTTCTGAAGGATAATGATCCATAAAGAATAACTTAAATTGATTTTAATACAAATACACATATGATTTCATTTCAAGGTGGAGATCAAATAAGAAGATCGCGAAGAGTAAAGCCGGTTCCAACTCAACAGTATTGTAATGTGACATTTTGTTGTTAGCTCCAACTTTGGACGAGGAATGAAATACTCTGAAAGAATTTCGATTTTCAATTATGGAATATCATTGACTTTAGGTCGATGATGGCCACTATCTTCCACTGAAGAGTGGCTGAAGAGCCCGAAACCGGTCTGCAAGTGTGCCCGTTCCAAAATTGAAGGTCGACTCTTTCAGTTGTATGGCCAATTGCATATGCAGGAAAATTTCTGTGAAGATTTCTGCACTGACGCCTGTCGGATATAATCCAACACCCTTCGTGGTATTAGCCAAGGGAGTAGTTGTTTTCTGATAGCCATCAGTCCATTCAACATACTGTGTAGGTATATCCGAGACTGGCTTGAACATTTGAAGTTCATTTCTTTAGATTTATTTACTACTTGTCTTCAAGCATGGCACACTGACTAATAAGAAAACATACAATAATTTGAAATTAAAAATTCGGAAAGCGAATAATAACATTTCTCCAATCAAAAATGGTTTGAGTACCTTTTTTGAATGTCTCACATTTTGATGTTGTTTTATTACATCTGGAAGTTTGTTAAAAATCCGTGGCCCTACCTAACTGGGAGTATTCACTTTCGCAAATAGAATATACACGGATTGTTTACTTCTAGTATTATAATCATGAAATTCTTCATTCAATTTAAAAAAAGACCTATTTTCAAAAATATAAACAGCTATATTGAACATGTATATACATGGAAGAGGTAACATTTCGTACATTTTGAAAATAGGTTTATATGAGTTCTTAAGTGGAATATGTACCAAGGTACTCAATATACGTGAAAACATCCAATGCTGAAGTGCAATTTCGCCAGAGACATATACCATACCTGTGCCTTAGGTGTGGTAAATTGCCATTAACTGCGCCTTATTCTTCAAAAGAAGAAAATTCAGGAAATTCAATTGATTACAGTGGGTTTTCCAACTCAAAAATTCATTCAAATATATCCCAAGAAATATGACAGATTCTTGAGTGTTTGTCAAAATTGTCTGATTTACTCTTAAATCCAGATTTTTTATTGCCTTCTGACGTTGGTGGAAACGTACTACCTCTGTTTTTTCCGTATTGAAAAATAAAGAAAGTTTATTGAATGATAAACAATCTGGTATGCAGAGTGATAACAACTATTCGAAATGCAATCAATCTGATTGATATACAGAATAAACAACACTGGTCCAGAGACGGACCCTTCAAAGAAACCCAAATCATCATCTTGACATTCAGAGTTCCCTTTGTATTTTGTATTATTGTATTGTATTATTGTATTATTTATATATATATATATATATATCAATCACAAGTGATTGATCCACCTTCTTCTTTTTCAGTGAGGNATATATATATATTGCTGGACATTCATCAGCAGCAATATGTTCGATTATTTGGTTGAAAAAATATAATATACCGATTGATGTTCATTTTCCGCCCGGAAACCCATGTTATTTATCCGATAAATTTTTATGCTCCTCAATAAAACCCCAAAGACGGTCGAGAAAGGCATATTCAAATAACTCTGAGAATAGATATTGAATTTTCTAATAATTCAGAATCATTTTTGTGAATCGGTGAATCGGTATGACTTTTCCCTTTTAAGAGGACTAATTCTAGGAAAATCGTTCGATAGATCAATTCTCCGTTATCATTGATTTTAACTAGAAAATGTTAATGTTTCCAAATCACTTATATCACTAAAAAGGTAGTTGATTTAATCAGTTCTCAAGTCATTAACATTTAACATAGGTAAGTCAGATTTGAAAATTATGGAATTGGGCGGTTCACGTTACGTTTCTCTGAAAAACGGTTACCACATGAAGTTACTCTCATAAATAATAACCTCAAATGAGGAATAAATAGACGGAAATTCTGAGTTCGGCAATTCATCTCCGGAAAACCTCCAACAAGTGACTGGTGTAACTCATTGACTGACTGATCCCGTTTCTTTATATTTTTCAATGACAAGTTACCTTTTTCGTTTTTTCACAACTTCTTTCCAGGCTCCTTGGGAATGAGAATTGGAAATTCCATCCTCCTCGTTGATACAATCATTCATTAATTGTTCTGTTTTGGGATATTACCCGTGATAAGTCATTTGAAGAAATTTTTTCAGGTTTGTTTTAAGATTCCGATTTGTTTTGGGATTCCGTTTCATTTACTTTTACGGCATGAGAGTCAGATACCTTTTGTTCACTAATAAGATTTTTTTACTTACACTTTTTCAAAGCCAATATGTTTTGTAGGCTTAACTTTTTAATGATTGTAAAAATGTTTGTAAAAATTTTCTAACACGTAAGATGTCTGAGTTATGATTTTTTCACGAGAATTTAATGAACACGACATTCCGAATTTCCTTTTTCCTTTTCCTCCACTTGTCCAAAGAGAATGCTGAACTATAAAGGTTTAGAATACAACAATGGAATTTACTAGCCCCTAAAACCAAAGTTACAATATTTATGAACCGTAACCATGAGCTATCCTCGTTTTTTACTATGCAGGATAAAATGTGTGTTTAAGTAAATCCAAATGATGTGATGGAAAAATCAGGATTTGCACATAACCCGGACGAATGGCGTTTATTTATAGATTCGTGTAAAACAAGTTTAAAAGCCGTTCTGTTCCATAATGGTTATTCCTCTTGCATATGCAGTTGCCATTAAGGAAACACACGAAAGTATGTCACTTATTCTAAATGCAAGTTATAATACGTATAAGTGGCAAATATGTCGTGACCTGAAAGTCATAGGATTATTACTAGGTCTTCAATGCGGCTTTACGAAGTTTTGCTGTTTTTTTTGCCTTTGGAACAATAGGGCAACACAGAACCATTATCAAGTAAAAGAATAGCCTCCGAGAGATGAATATATTCCAGGTCAAGCTAATGTGAAGAATATTTATATATCGTAAACAAGTTTTTCCAAAATTAAGCGATGCAAAGCTCAAGGAAGGTATATTTGTTGGACCACAAATTAGAAAACTACTAAGTGATCAACAAATTGATCAAAAATCAAGTAATGTACAAAAAAATTGTTTCGGAGTTTTCAGGGAACAAAAAAGTAGAAATATACGGAACACTTTTAGAAGAACTACTTGAAAGCTACTACAGCATGGGACGTCGCGTGTTTCTCAAAAACCATTTCTTGGACTCCCATTAAATTTTTTTCCAGAAAATTTGGGTGTTATCAATGACAAACAAGGGGAAAGGTTCCACCAAGACCTATGGGATGCAGCAATGATGGGAAATTATTGTTGGTTTCTCATAAGGGAAAACGATGAAACATATAAACGAAAGTCGACATTTGAAAAAAAGGTTATGCACAAAAGACTTCATTTGAGTGTTTCTACATGTGTATTGTATATTATCCTCAAAATATATGATTTTTTTCTTGTTCTGATCTTATATTTCCCTATAATATGTGAAAATTTTTGTATAAATATTGAGTAAAATTTTGTGTATATAACTATAACTCAAAATCTTTACGTGATGGATAATGTTTGATGTTGATGTCGCAGTCAGGATCCTTCAAGCTCTCATATATAGTCATTATAATATCAGTCGCAATTTCTTTTCTTATTTGTTGGCTAGTGTGATTTTTATTTTTCGATATTTTGCACCACTTTATGATACAATACACAGAGCACAAGCCGACGAGCTACTACTCCCACCAGCCATATTGCCTTCAAAGTGTTATCAACACTGAAAAACAATTTTTCTTCGCAAAAAAGTCCTTCATGGCCTCAATAGAGTCTGAAAAATTATGGAGACGACAAAAATATGTTCAGGATTATATCCCACTGAAAGGGGCTGAGGGGTCAACGTATCTTCTGAAATTGTTTTTTCTTCGACAATACGTTTGGTACAACTCAAAACGTTCGACTCTTCTATGAAAGAACTTACAAACACTTTTAAGAAATGAACTCACCTCAGAAGCATTTTTAGATGTTCCGTATACAGTTTTAATTGCCTATATAACTCTTCTTCCAGTAAAGGATTGTCTTCATCGTGAATATTTATATATGAATGTTTGAGCTAAAATTTTGCATATACGTTCAGTTTGGATGGCAATGCGAAGTTAGCCAAGTGTCACCATTTCATTGCAGACTATTTTTTATTTGCAATAGGAGTATAAAATGAAGGGATTGGCTGGAAAAAATACAAAAACTGAAATGACGTTACTCTAAATCCAATATGATGAACTCCCAAAATGGACTATCCTGCTCCCCAATTATATGTATATCAAATAAAAGGGTTCAGTGGCAAAAAAATTTAAATGACGCAAGACAGAATGGCTAACATACCAATTTTGAAGAATCATGACAAGTGTTGTTGGGACCGACTATTGTACGGGATATTGAGGGTTCTGAAACCAATGAAATTTAGCATTCGAATATGTTTATTATGGAAATTTAAAAATAAGCATAGTTCGAATGACTGGGGCTGAAATATAAAATGGCGTAGTGATTTTACCGTTCTATTTTCAAATAGATTTTCCACTTGGCTCTCAAATAAAAATATTCAAAAAAAAAATATGAGAAATGCTAACAGTGATGACATTCAGTTTCACATCTAGTCCCAAGAGGTTTCACACATTAATCATTTTACGGAAAGAAATATGTATGTGGGAATCATTGGAAATCCTTGCAATAAGCCACATTGAATGAAATGAATAGACTGAAAAATAACGTATTCAAAAAACTCACTTTCAATGAAAATCTTACAATAAAGTGTTATGAATTTTCATCAAGTATCGGCGAATTCCATCATATGACTAAAAAATATATCCAGTGATAACTGAAATAAATAATACTAACAAAATGTTAAAAAGAAAAAAATTACTTTGAATCAAATCAAACCTATCAATCAAGCTTGTCACTCGCTACAAACTTTTGTATCATTAGGTTGTGTGATATAGTGAAAGGTTTTTCGAAACATGTAAATGAAAGTTTCTTTTTCAAAATTTTCTTCACTTAGTACACACTTTCATATCATATAGGGTGTTCAATATAAATTTTAAAAATCAAAACATGTAAATGGAGGTTTGTTATCAAAAATGTTCCTAACTGTTGATTTATACATGTATACATTCTATCTGTACATATCTATCAACTACACTGAAGTGCTAATTTATCTGTATCGAATGTCAACGAATCTATTTCACAAATCATCACTTCTAGAATATTGGTTGTAACCAAATGACATATGGTATAGGTAAATGGTGAGTGAAAAGGATAATTTTCGTATATTTTTTACTTTCCGATCACTTTATTAGGCAATGAAACGTAAAATGAAATTGCAATAAAATGAAATTGAACGAAAAATCAAAAATTAAACGATTTGATATGAAATATATGCTTGAAAAAGATTTCAAACCAGGTTATTTCACGTCGTTTCGACTGTTGGTATCCACAATCGTCTTTTAGTGATGACTGAACTATTCCTCCAAAAGATGACTTTGAAAGTAGTTGACATGTTTCATAGCGAATTGAATAAGACCTAAATGCAATCACCAAAATCCACAAGAAGGGTGTTTCGCTCTAACCGATCATTAGTTCCAGGAATTCAACTACTCGAAACTTGTTTAGATTTTCACTTCCAATCATACAACCACAACTAAAAAAAAATATCTTTTGTGAAGAATTCGAGGCATTTTGTAGAATTATGAGAAGCGAACTAATCAGTTCCGGCATGGAAAGGCTTTACACCAACGCAACGTTTCTTTCGAAGAAGCACACAGAAGAAGCTATTCGAAGACGAGTACCTTGGAGATAGAACGAACCTGCCTATAGAAGTCATCATGGACTTACTGTATACCGAACTGCTCTTTCCAACTGTAGGGCGAATTCTTCACGCAAGATGAGAGACTGCCAATGGGAGCGCCACTTTTGTCGTTATAGCCAACATATATATGGAGTGGTTTAAAACTCTGGCCTACGAGAAGCTTCGAGTCCGGTTGAGATACGTTGACGATACCTTCCTAGTATGGAACCATGAGAATACAGAACAAGACACATTTCTGAAGCTCTGAAGCACATTAACAACGTGAAACCTCACTTTTTGGGAAAGGAAGTTTTTGGCTTTCTACTACTCCATCTTGATACAAAAAAAATGATGAGGGAAGAAAGGAAGGAAGTAATCAATTTGAAAATAAGTAACCCTATACATGGATGTGTANTCAGAGGATTATCGGAGAGGATAAGAAGAATTGGTTCCAAGTACAACATCAGAACCTGCTTCAGATCCGAAAACACTATCCGTAACAGCCTCACGAAAACCAGGCCACCAAACGCGGACTGCGATTCCAAGAATTACATTCACCGGATAACCTGTGAGTGCGGAAATTCCTATATTGGTGAAACTAAGAGGCCATTGAATGTTCGCATTGCCGATCACAAGAAACACGCACAGCGAGAGGAAACCAGCAAATCAGGAATAGCAGAGCATGTTTGGACCCATCAACATAACATAGAGTGATCCCAAGCTGAGATCATACACAAAGAGGAACATTGGTTTAGGAGGAAATTCAAAGAAGCTGCATACATGTTGTCCAACAACGTATTCAACCAAACTATCGTATAAATACGCAACATATGGAAACCCATTATCAAGCGAAAAATGGCCAACTCCCGCCAAACGGCCATCCCTCACTAAACTATTGAAGCGGAAAAAGGAAAGCGGAAATAAGTGAAAGTACTCCAATGATCCATAAATCACCCGAAGACGATTGTGGATACTAATAATCGAAACGTCGTGAAGTAACTTGCCTTGGAATCTCCTAACTTTTCATTTTTATTTTTTGTTCAATTGTTCTATTTTTACCTATTTTTATTTGTATTTCATTTCACTACTATTTCATTCCAGGTTTTTTTGCTTAATATAATTATTATTTTCAACTATTCATTTTCAATTCTTCTTTTTTAGTTCTTTTAGGGATTTCAAATCATTTTATATAATATCAGACAATGGGTATCCGAAATAATGCAATTCAATCGAAACGTCATGAAGTAACTAGGTTTGAAATATTTTTTAATTATTTAGTACATTTTCAATTGTTCAATTTTTAATTTTTCGCTCATTTTCATTTCATTGTAATTTCATTTTAAAATTCATTGCTCAATACAATTGTTATAATTTTTTGTTTTCGCTCTTTGATCAGATACAGTGTTTGTGACAAAGAATGTATTCATGGAAGAAATATTATATTATCAAACAAAGCATTTACAGGACATATCCAGTATTAAAGATTTCATAGTCTACTTCATTCAACATAAGAATGGGAGATAGTAATGAATTCTGGTCTATGAGTGTTATTTGATTTCGAAAATTTATTTTTAGATCAGAATTGCAACAATATAGTAGGTATGCCTTGAAAATAACGGTCAAAGAAATATCTCACTCACTTGCGTGAATAAAAGCTATAACTTCGAACCCTGCATTGAAGAAAGTAGCAGCTGCAATGCATTTCCATTTGGTATCAGTAGTAAAAGGAACATACAAATCATATAACATGAAATCGTTACAAGTCTTGTTAGTGAACTCGAATGTGTTTGCTTTGAGTCCCATCTCCAGGTTCATTACAGTCGTTGTATTTGCCAAAATCCCAACAAAGGTATACATAATCAGCATCTGGAAAAATAGAACAAATAAATTCACAGAATATCTATGACAAAACATCTGAAACTCAGGGAAATTTCAAATATTTATTTATATTTACAGGGGGTTCCAGAATTTAGGAAATAAAGGAATTGAAAGACATCAGAATGACCTGAGAATATTTTCGAAATATTTGTGGCCAGAGCGGTTTCTAAGAATTGTAAATGCTGCTTCTAACGAGTGCATATTCAAATTGAGTCACCCTATCATTGTAAATACAGAGAGGTAGTATTTTCAATGATTAAAATGTTCTCAGCAGCTATTTTTAACCAAATGTTTCAAAATGTATTTGCCTATATGAAGTATAGAACATTTTATAAATTCTACAGAACATGTGCGAATCTGAAAATAAAAAATTTCATGTTGCAGATGAATGTAAGCATGGTATGTTTGATGGTATAGCATGCTCGACAGATTCAATTCTTGAGAACATCCTATTCTACTGAAGACACTGGATACACAATTTTTTCAGGGAAATGGGCTGACCAATGCATTCGACATCTGTTTCCTATTCATCTCTGAGCATATGTATTCTTACTGCATGAGAATGGGAGGATCTTCAAGACCATTTCCGAAATTTCCCCTGGCTAGATGTTTGTTTCGGGTTTAAAGATCAATCAACTTGTGCTTCTGAAGTCACGGAATTTATTCTATCATCCATGGACACATATACTCCTTTTTCAATGAAACGACCTTCTAACGGCAAACCTTGGTTCAACAAAGGCGAGCAAGCTGTCGCCTCCAAAAATCGCGCCAACCGGCAGTGGCGCAAAAATCCCAGTGCAGAAAACCGAACTATTTTTGTTAATGCTCGCAACAGCTGCAAACTTGAATTAAATAAAAGAAAAGAAATTTACAATCAGAGAATTAAGGATATACTGCTTGCCAATCCCAACGGGTCTACATCATTCTGGTCGGTAGCTAAAACAGAAATCTACAAAATTCACAACTTCACTGCTAACACAAGCGTTTGGATCAATTGCAACAACAGCCACAGAATAACGAAATCTACTAGGTGAATAATTTGCGTCCTACTCCACAGTCGATTTTTTGGGAAAGGCACCACCCACTATTCCCACACTAGAATCCACAATGCCGAAAAAGTACTTTTTGACAGCGTCTAGTCTGGCGAATTTTGAAACAGCTCAATATCAACAAGGCGTCTGGCCCTGATGAAGTGCACTTTACCGTACTTGAAATGTGCGCAAATGAACTCGCACTAGTATTTTGCAGACTTTTCAACCTGTCTAACAAGAAATGAATTTTTCCTTCTTGTTGCAAGATTGTTCGCGTTCAGCCTATTCCCAAAAAGGGCAAGAAAAATCTTCCAAATAACTATAGATTAGTCGCTTCACTGTCAATTATATCAAAACTCATGGGGAAAGTCATAAACCACCATCATCAATATGGCTTTCGGAAACAATGACCAACAGGCGACCTTCTATCGTTTGTCACTCATATTTGGAATAACGCAATCGAGAAACATCTGATATTTCTAAGGCCAAATTTCGATGCTATGGCTTATTGGATCATTTTTTATATGGTTTTTCAGCTTACTGGATACCTGGATATCTCTCGAATACTTTCACCATCAACGCTGGTGTTCCCCGGGGATCCATATTGTCTTCAACCTTTCTTTTATTGTATATCAACGATTTATTGGAAGAAAAAACAAGAATCCAACATATTGCTCTGCTGACGACAGCACACTCGTCTCGTCATTTCATTTGGACTTCAGGACATCGGTTACGGAGGCACGTCTACGCCGGCGGCGGGAGGTTGCATGTCTTGGTGAGGATCTGGAAATATGGAAGTGATTTCGAATTAGGGTGAAAGTGACCAGGTTCAATTCATTGCCACAAAAACCCAGGAATCGGTTCCCTCCAAGAAGATAAATGTCTCCGAACCGTATATAATTAATGTCAGGTCAGTCAATTCCGCTCTCGGCTTCGATAAGTTCGTTAGGGGGTCGAAATGGACACCAATATGTCTTCCATCTTTGAAGTATTCTTCTAATGAATGGAGCTCTGCCCCCAAACATACCCTGAAATTGCTGGAATCTAGCAGCTTCAGGGTATGCTTAGGGGCGGAGCTCTTTACATGATCAGCTCTGATCTCAGCTTTATAGAGCGTCAAAAGTAGCTGAGTTGTGTATAGTTTTCTGGTTCGAAATAGTGTTTCAAGCTTTGGAGAAGCGGTTTTTGCAATTCCAGCTACATGACAGTGCCAAGACATATTGGTGTCCATTTTAACCCCCAACAAACTTATCGAAGCAGAAAGCGGAATTGTTTGACGTGTCATTATTGGATCCGGTTCGGAGACATTTATCTTTTTGGAGAAAACCAATGCCTGGGTTTTTGTGGCATTGAATTGAACCTGGTTACTTTCACCCCAATTCGAAATCACTTCTAGATCCTCATTAAGATATGCAACCTCCTGCTGCCGGTGAAGATGTGCCTTCTTAGCCGATGTCCTGAAATCAAAATGGATTTCAATATATTGGATTCTAGGTTTTTTCCAATAAGTCGTTGATATACAATAAAAAGAGGGTTGGAGACAATATGAATCCCTGGAGAACACCAGCAATGATAATGAAAGTATTCGAGAGATATCCATCGACGGCCACTTGCAGGGAACGTTCTTTCAGTAAGCTGAAGAGCCCTACAGAAAAATGATCTGACGAGCCATAACATCGAAGTTTGGCCTGCAAATACTCATGCCATATACGGTCAAAGGCCTTTGAAATATCTAGCGCTCTTGATTCAGCTCTTGATTCACCATGTTTCTCGATCGTGTTATTCCAAATATGGGTGACATACGACATACTTTCTACTACTCTATCTTATACAGACATCTTACATTTAATAATTTTGTTTTCTCTGAAGTTTTTTCGTTGAGAAGCGCTATTTTTTTTTAATATTATTTTCAGTAGCGATTTTTTTACCGATTGTAAGTGATGCAGCGTATTGTTGAAAGTAACACCCCATATTATAATACAATATCGAATTATTGATTCTGCTGGAGAGTTATACTCGATAGTGGGACATTTACAAAATAATCGATTTGCGGAACTAGGTTTATGTAGATACAATTCGATATTGCTTGGCTGATCACTCGAATTCAGCGAGAAAATCGTGAATTTGTTTTTTCAAACTCAGTAAATTATCATTCAACCGCATCAGTTCTTTCTACAGTTCTATTTCTGCAGTATGTAAAGCATCATGCCATGTTTCACCTTCGAATATTAAGGCTGTATCATCAGCATGACAAACTGTGTGCCCCTGAAAGCCTCTGATCTGTGTAATACTGTTTATGTAAACAAGGAACAGAATTGGACCTTAAACTGTTTCCTGAGGCACACCAACAGATATATTCAACTGCTTACTGATTCCATTACCGATTTTTACTCTGTGTCCGCTATGATAAATAGCTGTAAAGCGTTTCTCCGTATGCCATATCCAAAGAGTTTTCTCAGTAGTATGTCATGTGACACAGTGTTGAATGCTTTTTCAAGGTCAATAAAAACCAAATTGCTGTTTCGTTATCACGTAATGTTTATTGAAAAAGTTCACCAATATTTTTTACTGCCTGTTCGAATAATTTCGCGAAATTGATAATAACCGAAATTGGTCGATAATCACTAATGACTTATGTTTGCCACTTTCATGCACAGGAGTTACTCTTTAAAGCACATGTTTATTACATGAACAAGTGGTTTTAATATCTGATCATGGATGATTTCAATGAGTTTTGATGATATTCCGTCTGGTCCTGACATACAATTGTTTTTCAATTTCGAAATAAGTAAAATTAGTTCGCTCTCATTGGTTGGTTCCAGAAATAATGTGGGTGCCAATGTGAGTTCTCACAAAAAGGTATTTGGTAAATCAAATTTTTCGATATTGCTAGCCATTTCTATTCCAATGTTAGTGAAAAATTTGTTGAATATATCAGTTTTTTTTTTTTTCGTTATTTGTTATACAATCACCATTTTCGTTGGTGCTGGTTGTATAATCTATGTCCTTTTTCTGGGATGTGGTATTCGAAATATCAATTATTATTTTCCACGCCTCTTTGCAATCACCATTAGCCTCCTGCAGTTTGTTTTTATAGTATTGATGTTTCGTTTTTCTTACCAATTTATTTATTCCATTTGTACATTCTTTATATTTTATTTTGACTTCAGGAATGTTTCCATTCAAATGCCTTCTATTCTCTAGTTCTGATTGAGTTTATAGGACCACCAGAAATTCACGGTTTTATTTTACGATGAATTTTACTATGTATTATAATAGTTTCAGTTGCTTGGCATACCTATGTATCGTTTCAATTTGACAATGAAGGTACTTCTTGTGTTTCATTACATGATATCATTCCGGTGTTCGATTTGTAGTTGTTATTTCAACTTATCAAAATTGATTTTGTTTGTGTTCCTATATATTTTTTAATGTTTGATTTGTTTCAGTGGGTTTACTTATAAAAATGAGAATTGAGTAATGGTATGTTATGCCACTATGTATAACTGATAACTCAATTTCGTTACGCTCATTGTTAGAAATAACCATTAACATTTATTAATT